GGCCCCAGCATCCTGGCGCTTAAAAAAAAGAAAGAAAGCCCTGCACTCACCAGCTCCTGCCAGGTGTGTGTGTGGGGAGGGTGATCCCCACTGCCCTGCACTGCATTGGGGGGACTGTGCCATGAGCACCCACAGGCCCCAATGGCCAATGCAGCATCTGATGAGTGCGGGGCTGTTTTTTTTGTTTTTTTTTGAAGTGCCAGGATGCTAGGGCTGGGTGGAGCAGCCATTGATGGGACTGGGGGGCACTGAGGGGGCTGGGGGAGCTGGAAGAAAATGGGGCCTGGCAGGGGTCCTCCCCTGCAGTCCCCTCCGCCCCCTGCTTACCAGCAGAGAGTCCGGGTCCTGCTCCCTGTGGTGGCGAGCGTGGACTGTGTGAATCTCCAAATTGATTCGGAGGCTTTGAATCAATTTGGACCTTTTTATTGGTCCCCCAATTTGATCCGTGTTTGGAGATTCGGCTGCCGAATCTCCTTTGAATTGCAATCAGCAACCAAAGCTTTGCACAGCCCTAGTAAAAAAGACTGAGTGAGAACATCCCTGGTAATAGTTCTTTTCCAGGAAACTTAAAAAAAAAATCTATACTGCCAATAAATCCCATGTGGGAGGAATTTTTTCCCTCTCGGCTATCTGTTTACATCTAACCTAGCTGGCTAGTGACTGAAATTTGTCATTGTTTGACACCTGTTTAGTGGCCTTTTTGGGTAGTCTTACTCTCTTACTGAGCTCCTTATGGATATACATATATGTGCCATATACCAGTTGTGTCAGAACTGACACTTAACCCTCTTTCCAAACCCCTTCATGTGGCCTGATGATGCCCACTGCACCTGCCCCAGGTGCTGGATCAGGACCACCAGCTGGATCTGGCCTGCGGATGGATGAGGCACTGCTCATCTGGCCCATGAGGAGAAAGGATTGAGCACCACTGATCTAGACCACAATGACTTTATTATACTAGCAATGCTCCCCAGTGGGGATACAGCTTTCTACCAGCAAAAGGAGTTCTTTCCTCAACTACTCAAATGAATAAGCTCTATGGGATAAAGGACTCCTTTGCTTGCATAAGTTACTTTTCCACATGGTCAGGGTGTGGTTGCCATGATCTTAATACACTATAACAGTATGTGGCTTAGGAAGGACTGTCCCAGGGCTTAGAGAAGATTTAGCCTGAAGATCAAATAAACCAAAACACCTTCATAGACCCTCAGACTTTATCATGGAACCAAACTGATTGGGGATTGAAACAAACATCAGAATAGCCCGAGGAGTGAGCTGCATATCTGAAGGCTCTTCAAGGACATGGCACCAGATCTCCACTGCCAGTTAGTCATCTGAATAAAGCAGCCAAAGTGAGCTGCTGCACACTAAGCACTACTGAAAAAATCAGGTCGTGTCATTCAAGTGCCTTAATGGGAACACGTCTTGACAAGCTGGTTCCAAGTGCCTGATTCCACCTCAGATGATTGCTTGGCTTTAGCAGGAGACAGAGGAAATCCAAGTTAGCAGAAATAAAAGCACGCTTCTTATCGCTGTGTCCCGGCAGAGATGTAACAGGGCAGCTCTGTGCCCTGAGCAGCTGCAGCACTCAGGGCAGTGCTAGCTGCTGCATTGCCGGCTGTAGTGGTATGTCCAGCACCAGGTATGGTGACAGCTAATTTATGGGCCGGCTGCAAAGGCAGTGCCTGGGGCTGCTGCTTTGGTCATCTATCCTCAGTTATGCCGCTACGTCCTAGCTTGGTTCAGCTGGTAACATACACACATTTTTGAACAGGTAGAATCATGGCAGCTAGAGGGGTAATTTAAAAAAAAATTAAAATAGTTATACCAAGTGTAGGTGTAAATATTCCAGTATAAAGGTGCCTTATTACTTATTGTTGTGGCCTATTTCCCCTTCTAATGCAGGAGTAAGTGATACTGGCATAAAACCCATTTATGCTGGTGTACATGGATGTACCTGGCAGGAAGGGGAGGGGATGTAGCATTTTACCTATATCCTGTAACTTTCTACTAACTTCGGAGCAGCTTTCTAGCAAAGACAAGACCCTATACCGCAAAACAAAGTTGGCCTCACCTTTGCACATTTTTGGTATTCCTGCCTTTTGAGAAGGCTTCGATGAAGTACTTCTTTGTACATTTAAAAATTGTTGTTTTCATAAAAGCAAGATACTACAGTTTCATAAAAGCCTAGAACTATATCTTTCTGGCTACATCATATTTGCTGCCAGAGAAGCAGTGAAGACTGGATATTGGCTGTAGACCATGGTAGACTTAGGATTTGGTAGTTAACCAGGAAAAATATTAAAACAGGCAAAGTCTGTCATCACGTAAGAGACAGCTTTCAACTTTAGTAAATGTCTTTGTACTTAAAAAGCTAATGGAAACCAGTCACAGTGATAAAATCTGTGACTGTCTTAAATAGAAGGAATTCTTGGTTTCTTGTGGTAGAAAGAAGACTGGAATGTAAAGTCTTGGGCTTTCCCTCCTTGTTTATAGTTTTTCTCATTTGATAAAAAAAAAAAGAAACTTAAAAAAAAAATCAACAATCCAGTCCAGAAACAGAGGAAAAGTCCACATTTCAATAAAGTAAAATACTAAGACAAAACAATACATAAAACTGCCGAATAGGAAAGCAAAACACCACACAGCTGAAACAGAGGGCAATTGGAGCCTGCTATGAAAAGGTCCAACACAGGAATATTACTGGCGAAAGCTGATAAACACACAAGAGGAGAAACCACCACTCAGACCACTTGCAGTGCCAAGAAAAGAACAGCAAACAGGCCTAGATTGAAGCTCAAGATAACAACACACAGAGTACACAGACTTTCTGAGAGAAATTAGAGGGGAAAATAAGAATGTTTTCATTAAGAAAAATAGGAGATGACCAGATGGACTAGTAGAGCAGCAAGAAGGAAGGATCATAAAAGAAAGATGTCTTGAAAAGAGAGACAGGGGCATTTTTAAAGCTGCCCTATCATTTAAACTAATTATTGTACACTTATAAATATCTCTGTATACATCTCTAATGTTGCTGCTGCAACCATATTACAGGCCAGCCATTACATCTTTACTTAGCCAAACTCTCATTACTCCAATTGTAAGGCCTTTGGAATAGGGACTATATTTTTGTTTCGGGTTTGTACAGCATCGAGCACACCAGGGTCTGGTCCGTGACTGGTGATCCAAATTAGAAATATTGAAATTCAGTGCAAATCTGGCTGAGTTAGAGTTTAACAGATACAGACCTGAGGACTGGGCCCTGTTGTTGCAATGAAGAGAACAGTGGCCATGGTAAGAAAGCATATGACTTTGTCAATGAGTGTCTGATGGGAATGAGTGTGTGGGCTATGTTGAAGCTCAGAGCAGATTTCTCTCCAACCTTCCAAAGTCTCCCAAAGAGAGCTGATGCTCCTGTCGTCTAAAACTTGGGGATTTCAAAAATTGTTCTGTTCTGCATCAGAACCAAATCAAATGCCACGGAGGTCTTTCATGACAAGGGAATAAAGGAACTAAAAAAAAAGTAAAAACCTTCCATCCCACAGTAGCAAATAGCCTGATGGTTGGGGCACTGGAGCAGGAAGCAAGAGACCCAGGTCTAAGTTCTTGCTCTGCCATCTTCCCACACTCCATCTAGGTGTTGTGATCACCAAGCTATTTGTCATTATGGGATCAGTCTCTCTCTCTCTTTTGACCAGAAATTCCATCCTGGACCCAGGCAACTTTTCCCAATGAAAGTTTTGTTGAACTGGTATGCTGCTGTGAAAGGTTTCAGTTTTGACAACCTGGCATTTTCCAAGAAAAATGACAGATTTGTTAAAAAATGCCCTGGTTCCCAATTTCTGTACTCAAACATGTGTGTTATTTTTAAGCTCACTCCAAAGCCACTGAAGCCAGTCAGAGCCCTTCTCTCAGGATCAGCGCATATTGGATTTGACCAGTACCACAGTACAATAGATCTAAGTATTCAAATCAAAGAATCAAGAGTGTAGGTTGTAGCCATGTTGGTCGAAGGATATAGGCAGACTTAACCATGAAGACTACATAAAGAAAGCCAACAGACAGCTCTCTGACACCACGTATTACAAAGAACTACAAGAAGATCCTATTCCCCTTTCCACCTTGAAACTCAAAAATACCATCAAATCGTTTCCATCAGAACTACAAGAAACACTACAGAACTTGATCTCCCCACTACCTAACCCAGGAAACTTTTACCTGCTCCCTAAAATCTACAAACAAGGAAACCCTGGCAGATCTATCATATCCAACCATGAAACCCTAACTGCGGAAATATCAGGTTTCGTCGACTCAATGCTAAAGCTGCTTGTCACCCAAAGAGCGAGTTTTGTCCAAGACATTATAGACTTTCTATGGAAACTTAAAAGCATAGTCTACATTCCCAGCACCACCCTCCTAGCCTCCATGGATGTTACCAGCTTATATACCAACATCCCACATCAGGATGGCATCCAAGCCTGCCTTACATACCTACGTGAGCAAGATGACAACTCAGAGTAGAGACCCAAAGGTATTACTGACTTTATACACTTCATCCTCACACACAACAATTTCACTTTTAATAACCAACACTGCCTCCAGACCGTGGGCACAGCTATGGGCACCAAAATGGCCCCACAGTATGCCAACCTTTTTATGAGCCACCTGGAAGAGGAATTCCTCAAGGACTGTACCACCAAACCCTTGCTACACTTAAGATACATCTATGACATCTTCATCATTTGGATTAAAACCTGCAATTGCTGATTGAGATCCATCAGAAATTCACCAATTATCATCCCTCCATCCGACTAGCTCTTGAATACTCCAGCACCAACATCTCCTTTTTAGACACAAAGATCAGTATCCAGAATGGTAAAATACTGGCCACGCTATACAAGAAACCCACAGACCAACATACATACCTGCACAGAACCAGCCAAGCCCTCAGATACCACTGAATCTGCATTGAAGAGACTATCTGGGATTGCCACCTCACTCATTTTAGACAGGCTTTCACCCAAGGACATTCCTTCAGAGACAGATCACACATTTGAAAGAGCCACCCAGATTCCACATGAAGAATTGCTGCAGTACAGAAGACAAACCCCCACGAATAGCACACTGTCCATTATGACATATCACTCCTCCCTCATATGGAAAGTCCTCAAACAGTTGCAACCCATACTAGAAGGAGACCCTATTCTTAAAGAGATCCTCCCAGAACCACCCATCCTAGCCTTCAAACAAGCCCCGAACCTCGCTAACCTCATCACCAGACGCAAACTTCCTACAGCCAAGAACACACCAAATGGATCCAGACCATACCAGGACAAGAAATGCAAAACCTGCCAACACATCTCCACCACCCCCACAATTACAACACCCCACAACAGAGCATTCCCGGATCTTA